TGCTCTGCTTGACATTCTGCAGGCAACCATTTTCTCTGGGTTGACGTAAATGATCGGAACAAGCCATCCGTCTTCCTGGGGCGATGAGCACCATGAGCTGACAGCTCAGGGATTTTGCAGCGTCTCTCAGCTCTGACAGCCCTGTGTGGTGCATGCCAATGCAGCCTCCTTGCTCCTGTCTGGGCAGTGGGGACCCTGTGCTTCTGCCCTGAGGTCTCAGGTCACCTCCTGACAATCGGAGTTGATTCTTTGCCATCTCTTCTCTCCCTGTGTTTCAGTGTGTAGTACAGCAGTCATTCCCCTATGCTGGTGGCTAGGAGACCAGAGTCTGTCCCCAGGGAAGTCTTAATCCTGGCAGTGGCTCCTTCATCCATCTACAGGGCTGTGCTGGGGGAGTCATCCAACAGTCTTGGGCTCTGACATTGGCTCCCTGTTGCATGTCTTTTGAAAGTTTTTTTGACCCTTGGGTGTGTGAAGTGGTGTGGTGGATAGCTCATGGTTAGCCAAGCCAGGGCCTTGAGGTGCACAGGGCAACATGGACAAGGTGAGTTGAGTGGAACATGCGACTTGGCAGTTCCCAGAGGTGGGGTCAGCACCAAAGGCAGAGGATACTGTGACTGCGAGCATAGGGAAATGGCTTCTGCCATCGTACTCACAGACAAGGAGTTTAAAATATAATAATGATTTACTGTAACATTGGGAGCTGAATGCAAAGAGGTGATGAATGAGTGGATTGTGAAAGAATGGCCTGTCCTGACAGGACTGTTCCAGTAAGAATCAGGACAAATTATGCCGTCCCATCTGGAGCGTTATCTGCAGTGCTGTTTGCATGGGGCTGTTTATCCACTGATGGCACAGGGTACAGAGAGGCACCTCTCATGTTTGCTGTTCTGTGTATCCCTGCTGAGGATTAGTCTTTCACCAGCTTGCCCATAGCATGCTCCCGTGACCAAGGGAGTTGTGTGTGAGCATTGGTGGACATGCTTCACCCCTGTGCTCCCCACTGGCCTTGCTCCTGTCAGCTAGGAATCCTTCCAAGGGCCCTAGCCCCAGTGTGGGGGATGGGCAGCCTCTGAGCCTGCTGACCTGTTGCAGGACACGTTTTCCCCCTTCTAACCTATGGCAGTCTGGTTTGGGGGAAGCAGCATTCCCTGGTCTCTGTGCTGTGTAAGACCTTTCTCCTGTGGTGGTTTTCTCCAAAGATGTGGCTGTGGATGGGTGGTGAAGGAAGGGCTGTGCATGGCAGGAGGAGGGTGGGGACTGACTGCAGTGCTAGGGCTTTGCTGAGACACAGCTCTCCAGAGGGGCATCAGCTCCACCAAGGTGCCTGCCTGTTCCTGAGCCCCGAGTTTGACAAGATAGCTAGTGGTGGGATGTGTGTGGAGGGTGGAGCCGTTAAACCCGTTTCACTGCTGCAGGCAGGGCAGGATTGCTCCACCACTGCCTTCAGCTGGGTCATGGCAATGGGTGCATGAAGAGCAGTATGGATAGCTGCCAGGAGGGGTTGGCCCTTCGGCAGCAGGGAGCAGGCAGTCTGGGCTGCAGAAACCTGTCGTGAGCTGGTGGTGGGTGTTTCTGCCTCCCTGGTTTGTGGCACACTAATGGTCTTTGATAATTTTTTGTTATTTATTTGTATTTCCCCAGCTCCGTAAGCTGTCTTGGCTAATGGAAAAGGGCACCAAGGGCCCTCGTGAGGGTGGGAACTGTAAGCACAGCATCTAGGAGGCAGGCAGGATTGGTCACTGTGTCCACAGTGTGTGGTCTGTGTCACCCATGTCAGCTGCCCAGCTCACCCCATACATCTGCACCTTCTGCACATGGCTTGAGTGCCCTCCAAACAGGGGGACCTTGGGGCTCCACTTCTGCTGATGTTCTGGAGAGGAACTGAAAGCCTGTTTGTGCCTTCTCACCATCCTGAGCCACCCAGCCAGCAGGATGAGGAAGCTTCAGGCATGGGCCCTGAGAGAGCTCTGCTGCTTAGAAATAATTTCATCTGGTCTGAAAGGATCCTGTCGAATCTTAAGTTAAAAGGAGCTTTTTGTATGGAAATCAGGTACTTGTGTGTCAGCATGTGAAATTACTCTTAAAATGGAGAGGCTGAAATTGCTCTCCAGGTGCTCACTTCTCATCAGACCTGCACAGAGACCTGCTGCTCTGTCTCTCTGCAGGAGCAGGATGCTTTTGCAGGTAGTCACTTGCAGGAGTGGCAGAGAGGCCAGTACCACCTCCTGCCCCTCTGTGGCTCCCTGACAGGGCAGTTGGTGCTCACTAGGGTACTAGCCTCTGGACAGGGGTTTGCAGGGGGTGGTAATGCTGGTCCTGGCTGTGCAGCCTTGATTCGTGTCAGTCCTGGGGCTCCACTTGTCGTCCCCATCGCAGCTGCATCCTCCTGCCCTTGGCACCCACCCTGTCCTGGGTGCTGGAGTGAGGTCCCTGGTACAGGGTGACTGATGGTGTCCCCAGAAACTGCTCACTGATGGGGTGTGAGGTCATTTGCTGAACCTATGTGCACTGATGCCATCCTGTGTTGTATGAGTGTTGCAGGGGCAACATGCTCCCACTGTCCCCTAAAACCTCTTTCCCCTCCTGCCAGCTCTCTCCAGCTGTGCCCAAGGGCTGCAGATGTGTCCTCAAAGGACAGCCTTCTCTGACCCCTCCACAGGGGAGAGCTAAACTTTTTCTAGGAAAACCATGCCAAGTGACTGACAAACAGGTATTTTTCCTGTCTCTCCCTTCCTGCTGGGTCTGTAATGTCAGGATTGCTGGCAGCTGAAGCACTTGCAGGCTTGCTGCAGGCAGGGAGCCATTTCTGGTTCGGGGAGTAGTATCCCCCCACCGGAGGCACCTTCTCTGGGGCCGGGTAGACCAACCTTCCCTGAAGGACGTTCTCTCCTCTGGCTCTGCTGCATCCAGCTAATAGCTGAGAGCCTTGGCTTGGCATCCCAGCTGCCCTGCTTGCTCTTTCACCTCCTGAGTGCTGCTGCCAGCTGTTCCTGCTGCTGACTCCACGGTGTTGTAAGAGCTGAAGCTGCTGGTTAAAGTCCGGGTAAACAGGTTGCAAAGCCCCCGCAGCCGTGGCGAGGGAGGGGGTTGGATGAAGCTGCTGCTCGTGGGCAGTGGCGTGATTTATTTGCATGCAATAAGGTTTCTGCTGGAATAAAATGTGGGGAGAGGACACAACGGCAGAGTGGGACCTCTGATGGGTCTCACTTCCAGGGAGGGAAGGGACTGCAGGGTAGGTGTTTTTTTTTTTTTCATTCTGCAGGCAGAAGAAAATGAGTTAAAATTGCCCCATGTCACAGAGTGTGTCTAGTCCCTGCTCTGTGCACCTTCCTATGGGATCTGAGGCCAGAGCAACACCAGGGAGGGAGGGGACCTGGCAGCATGGATGCCCTGTTCCTCCATTCTCAGCTAGGGCAGCCTCAGTTGTCCCTTTGCTGGGGCACTTCACAGGCTCCTGTGGATGTGGCTTTGCCTGTGGGATTTTGGGCAGAGCCTCTCTGCCTCCCCTGCACACATACAAATGCCCTTAATCCCAGTGGCCACCAAGAGTGCAGGCAGGTTGCAGGAGTTGCCATTTGGTGTAGCTGCCATGAGCCAAGGTGCTGGTTGCCACTGGACTGGTGCTTGTCCTTGGTGCTTCCCTGCTGTCTAGCTTCTGGAGGTGCTGGGGCAGCAGCTGGTGCTGGGGGCTCAAGAGGGAACAAATACTCATGGCACTTAAAATGTCCAACACTTCAGTTCTACAGTGTAGGAGGGAGAGAAGTGGCCTTGGCAGCACCTGGGAGGTGTATATGACTGGTGTCACAAGACTTGTGGTGTGTAGCAGTGCAAGGAGGTGCCAGCTGGTGCTCAGCTTTTTGGGGACTCTTACACTCTGCTGGGGAATGCTGGTCCTCATTGCACTGCTCGCTGGGGACCCTCCAGCTGTTCCTGCAGGAGCTGTTTGTCTTTGCAGGAGAAATTACAGTGCCTGCCAAGCCCCCGTGCCACAGAACCAGCAGTGTCTGCCACCTCTGACAGATGTGCCAAGGATGGGAGAGGGTTAAAGGGGCAGCGGGAACGCTCTGGGGACCCTGGGGACGGTGTCTGTCCTGTGGTTCCCTGGGAGTGCAGGTGGCTGGCCACAGTGGTGTGCCCTGGCCTCACTGCAGCTGCAGTGGCTTCCTTCCATGCCCCCAGAGCGCAGGGTGCTACGGAGGCGTCACGGCTGGCAGTGGTCACCCATCACCAGCTCCCGGGAGGCGCCTGCCTGGCCTGGGCTGGGCAGCTCCAGCCCCCCTGGGAACACAGTGGAAAACAAAGGCACTTTGTCTGCCGATGCAGAGCCATGCTGGCCATGCGCCCCATCCCCAGTGCCTCATGGGGCCAGGATGCTGCCAGGCTGGGCTGGTGGGTCCTGCCCTGGGCATGGGGGACTGGTACTCAGTGCCACAGTGTCCCCATCCCCACCATGCCTGGGTGCTGACTTTTCCTCAGCTTTTCCCCAGCTGTGCTGAGTGCTGGTCTGGCTTCTTGGCTACCTGGGGAGGACAGTGCAACCTACTGCTTCTCATTGAGGCTGTTTTAAGGGAGCTGCTACCCAGCTGCTGCAAGGAGTACAGTGAGGCTGCTTTCCCTTCTCTCCAGAAGGATGGCAGGAGTACTCCCGGGAATGCCAGTTGCCAGTGACACTAGAAGGGGAGCTAGAGGCAGCACCAGAGCGATCAAGTGTCTCTCTTGCAAATCTGGAGGCTATGCAGAAGATGTAACTTTGTGAGAAACTTCACTGGTCCTAGGAGCTGGGACTGCCTGCTGTTGTCACAGGGAGCAGCCATGGGCTGTGGTGTCCCCTATCAGCATCCCCTCATGGGAGCTACTTTGTGGGGTGCTGATAAGCAGAGCTGTGCTGTGCCGTGCAGCACCAGCCTGCACTTGGCTGCAGAGCAGGATAACCACCACTGCATCCAGCCCACAATGGCAGCTGTTCCCCCTTGGGACACTAGGGTGTTCCCTGGGCCATGGTGGAAGTCGCAGTGCTGCTGAGTCACACCGAGGACATGGCCACGCTGCGGGAGCTGGTGGAGACTGTATGGGAGACTGGGAGTTGTCAGCCCACCTGACCCCACACCATACCCCATCCTGCGAGCTGGGGCATGATTTACCTTCCCTAGGCAATGAGCCGTGAGACTCTCGGGGTGCTCTGGTGGGTGCTGGCTCCAGTACCTGTGCCAGACTGAGTGGGGTTTGCCCTGTGAGGCCAGAGGGAGCTGACTCGGCCTCGTGCTGCCTCCTTGTCCCAGCACAAAGGGCCCTGCTGCTTGGAAGGACCTGGCCATGCTTTTATGCACTGGGATCCATCATGGCCAGATGGGCTGAGCCCAGCTGGGTCCAGCTGCAAGGGCTCCGACCATGCTCAGGGGAGCCCCATCATTGAGAGCTGGCACCCCTTGCTGCCTGGGCCACCAGGAAAGGCTGCAGTCAGTGTAATCAGCATTCAGCAGCCACTGCTGCGGGAGCTCAGGGCAGCTGTACAGGCTTGATGATAATTGTGTTTCCTACTGGCATGGCCAGGTCTGCACATGAGCTCCTGCTGGTGTGGGGAGTGGTTCTGTGCCTGCTGTAGCACCACTGGATTTATAAATCCCAGTGCTGGCAGCTCACCTGGGGATGCAGGGCTCTGGAGAGGGAGAGCTGCTTTTGAAGGGACAAACCAAATAGACCAATCAAATTTGAGGGGACAACACACCAAATAGACAGTTGTGGGTATGGTGTTTTGCCCAGTATTCCCACCCCTTTGGTCAGTCTCCTCAGTGCCTCTTGCCATGGCTGGATGGTGATGCTCATGCAGGATGCCAGGTTGGCACAGGGCCCTGCTGCCATGTGGAGTCTCCAGGGTTTTGGTGAGAACAGGGACAGTGTCCCAGCCCAGACCTGGCTGCCGTAGGACCCAGGCTCAGCCGTCATGGAGGTGGCAGCAGCCACGTGGTGCAACACAAGGACAGTGCTACTCCTGCTCCAGTGCCCCCTCTTCTCCCGTATAGGTGGCCTGGCTGGAGGGATTGAGATCTGCATCACATTCCCCACCGAGTATGTGAAGACACAGCTGCAGCTGGATGAGAAGGCAAACCCTCCCCGCTACAAGGGCATCGGTGAGCACACACCCAGTGCTTGCTCCCAACCGCTTGCTGGGTTTGCGGACCCCAGGGAGCCTGGCTGGAGCTGGGGGGCTTTGGTGGGACAGTGGTGGGTGGTCCTTGGCGTGGTGGGTGACAGCGGCACCACTGTGCTCTGCTGCAGGAGACTGTGTGAAGCAGACTGTCCATGACCATGGCATCCGGGGGCTGTACCGGGGGCTCAGCTCGTTGTTGTATGGCTCCATCCCCAAGTCTGCTGTCAGGTAGGTGTCCCCTATGTCATGGGGTGAGGGGGGGGGACCCTGACAACAGCAAATAAGGGGGGTGGCTTTGCCTGCTGTGGCTCTGTTGGCACTTCACCAAAGCCAGGTGCTTTCCCAGATGGCAGAGTCCTCTCTTGGGGTATGCAGCTGCTCCCAGAGACATACCCAGAGCAGGGGAGTGCAGCCCACGTCTGGGTGCCCAAGGATTGGCACAGTGGCTCCTTTTCAGGTTTGGGATGTTCGAGTTCCTCAGCAACCAGATGAGAGATGAGCAGGGGCGACTGGACAGCACACGGGGCCTCATCTGCGGGCTGGGTGCTGGCGTGGCCGAGGCTGTGGCAGTGGTCTGCCCTATGGAGACTGTGAAGGTGAGTGGAAGGCAGCTGCTGGTGTCCTCTGCCTTGGCACCCCTTGCAGGCTGGGTCAGGAGCAGGCAAGAGCCAGGGATGCCTGACTTTTGGAGACCTGAGGTCTGTGTGGGTTTGTTTGGGCTAGTTTTGTAGGAGATGATCTGATGCTGGAAAGCAGCAAGTCAGATGGCCCTGGCCCCTTCCCACTGTGGGGAAGAGCCCCACACCCATGAGCCATCTTGTCACGCATGGGACTGTAAACCATACATGGCCACTTCCTAGGTTTTCCTCTGCAAAATGCACTGCTGGCCATGGGCACAGGCTTCCCCCATGGTCTCTCCCAGTGTTGCCTGACTGCCTATGGGTTGGCTCTGGTCTTGGGAGAGTCCCTGGAGCAAGGTTAGAGGTGGCCGACAGCCCTTTGGGACCATTGTATCTGCCTTTACCTCAGCCAGGACAAGCACATCATCTCCTTGTAGGTGAAGTTTATCCATGACCAGACCTCTCCCAACCCCAAATACCGTGGTTTCTTCCATGGCGTCCGGGAGATCGTTCGGGAACAGGGTGAGTCCCGGGGAAGAGGCACCCTGACCCCCTGGGCACTCCCATAATGTGGGGATGGGGTGGGAGGTTGTGAGTGGGTGCAGGTTGGGTGGGACGTATGGCCTGGGGATGTTTTTCTCTACCAGTTAAGGTTGATCTTGCCTCCAACACCTTCTTGCAGGACTGAAAGGGACCTACCAGGGCTTAACCGCAACCATCCTCAAGCAAGGATCAAACCAGGCTATCCGCTTCTTTGTCATGACCTCTCTCAAGAACTGGTACAAAGGTACAATGCCCTTGTCCCCCAAGGCCCCCCTGGCTGTGCCTCTGGCTCCTCCAGCCCACCCATGGAAGCTGGGATGAGTTTTCCATCAGCACACCTCCTACTTCTCATGGCTCAGTCACTCAGGGTGGAGGAACATGAAAACCAGGGTAGAGTGGCCCCAGCTTATAGGGCTAAAGGGTCCTGATGCTGAAGCATCACTTTCACCCCCACACTGAGCCCCTCAGTGCTGCATGGCCTCCGTGGGACTGGTGCTGTTGGACAGTCCCCTCCAAACACCCCACTATCCAGCCCAGCACTGCACCAACCATGGCCGCAAGCAGCCAGACCTGGGACCTTTCTTGCAGGCTTCCTCAGGAATGTATCATTTGTCCCCACACCACTACTCTGCCCTCAACCTCTTTTCCTTCCTAGGGGACAATCCCAACAAGGTCATCAACCCCGTCCTCACGGGAGTGTTTGGAGCCATTGCTGGAGCTGCAAGTGTCTTTGGCAACACCCCCTTGGATGTGGTGAAGACCAGGATGCAGGTACGGTGCCAGGGCAAGGTGCAGGACCACTCTGCCTGCAGCAGACTGGGGCCACCTGCTGCCTGGGAGCTGTTTCGCCCAGTCCCTGGTGCAGGTGTGTGATGCCGGTGAGGTTTGGTTTGGGAGATGCCTGGGGATGCTCTTGGGCCATGTGGGTGCTGGGAAGTGTTTGCTGCACGGCGATGGGGGATGTCCCTGCCAGCTTTGATTCGCGGCGGCAAAGAGGGATCAGTTCCTCATGGTGCACCCCCAGCTCTTTGCGTCCCCCAAGAAGTTTCCCAGATGCACCCCTGGCTCTGGTCTCTGATCCTGCTTTTCCCTTCCTGCAGGGGCTGGAAGCGCACAAGTACAAGAACACCTGGGACTGTGCCTACCAGATCATGAAACATGAAGGGCCTCTGGCGTAAGCTTGCGGTGGGGGTGGCTGGGGAGGGAGGGTGAGCAGGGAGGTGCTGCAAGGGCACCCAGCCCCATGGTCCTCTTTATTCCCGGCAGGTTTTACAAGGGCACAGTGCCTCGCCTGGGCCGTGTGTGTCTCGACGTGGCCATTGTCTTCATCATCTATGATGAGGTGGTCAAATTCCTCAACAAGGTGTGGAAAACGGACTGAGGGGCCAGGCCGGGCGGGTCCCGTGTCCTGGAGGGCTGCAGCTGGAGAGCCGAGACCAAACCTGCACCCACCTGCGGCGCTGCCGGGGCCAGGTCTGCCCCACGTGGACCCCTCCCAAACCCGGCCACTTTATTTCTAGGAACAGGCTCTGGAGCAGGTTAAATTACTAGTTGTGTGCTAAAAGGAGTGGGGAGGGAGCAGCATCCCACCATCCAGACCTCCAGCATCCCAGTTATGCCTGCCCTAATCCCCTGGTGACTCTTCCCTCTGGTCCTACATCAGCTGTGAGCACCTGCTATCCAGGGTGAGGTGTCCTTTAGGACAGTAGCCATCTGCCTCCAGGGCTCCTGGCAGCCAGGAGCTGCTGACTGCCCGGGGGCCCGCTCTTTTAGGGGTGCTTCTTTTAGGGGTGCTGAGAGCCCCCAGAAGCCATGGGGTGCAATTCCAAGCTGTACAGCAGGCACCACAGCTGGTGGAGGCTCTCAGGGCTGACACTGGTTGCTGGAAGCAGCTCCAGCAGGGAGCTCAGCAGCCCTGAGCCCCCCAGGAAAGGAGGTCAGTGACTCGCTGATGTCACCTCAGGCTCCGTCCTCCCTCCCTGCCAGCACCGAGACCCCTAGGGTGCAGCATCCCATCCCCAGGGTCCTGCTCAGCCCCAGGCAGCTGAGCAGGGGCTGCCCAAAATTGCACATACAGCCAGGCCTTTAGTTCTGCTCACCAAGGACCAGGGTTGGAGCGAGCCAGGTGCCCCCATCACTTGCTGTTTACAGTCGAGGTGCGTGTGCGAGCCGGGGCACCGGAGGAGCAGTCCCGCACCGCAGACTTGGCCCCTCGACCAGGGGTGCAAACCCCTTTCTTCTGCCACATTCCCCCCATCTGCCCTCTCGCCACCTCTCCGTGGCCCCGTAGGTAATCCCGTAGCTTTTGGAGCTTCACGCTGACCCACTAACACTCGTGGCTGTGGGGCCAGAGCCCTGCTCTGCCCGCACCAGGCTTGGCCCCACCGGATTTGTGCCAAACTTCTCCTGAGGGAGCTGAGGGTGCAGGAGCCAGGGCTCGACCCATCCCTCCTCCCTCTTCTTGCCAGCGATGAGCTCAGCCTTAACACAGGAGGGCAAAGGAGGAAAGCCTGGGCACGGTTTACCTGCGGCTTTTGACTCTGAAGCCAGTTAGGGTTGCATTGTTTTTTTAATTATTATTCTGTTTTACATTCGCAATTTGAATAAAATCAGACTGGCTTTAGCAGCTGTGTTGGCGTCCAGGCTGTGCTGAGTGGGTGGGGGACGGGGCTCCCATCTTGCCAAGACGGTGTTCCCGGGGGAGCGTGAGCTCCAACCCAGCCCATTCACAAATGCTCCCAAGCGGTGCGTTATTAATAATCCCGGTTATATATGTATGAAGTCCTTGCCCCGCCGTGGAGCGAAGGGCCGGGACGGCCAGGGGCGGCGGAGCAGAAGGGAACGGGCTTTGTTCCC